ACTCATCATCAACATTATCATTCTCATCCTCAATTTCCTCAGCATAAACTGTCAAGCTATTGTAAGACCCTGTGATATTGAGATCTTTACTGTTTCATATCAAATGTTGGACTCATTTGAACATTTAATACATAAAACTTGAATGTTTACGTTTCAATTTCGACTGAACGGCTACTTTCAGGAGCGTTTATACAACGTGGTATGCGCAGCATTGTTTCTAGCTGCAATTGTCCTCATTGTGTGGTTCATTATTCTTAAGGGCGGTAGCCGAACCACGTTGATCATTGCAGGCGTACGTTACCTTCTATGCATTTTTGCAACCACTGTAAGCAAACTGATCTCTGTACTGGTTCGAAAAAATGCAGGGTTATTTATTTTCACGCAGTGTGCTATCTGAACGCCAAAGTACCATTGACATCATGATATCGTTGTTCAGCTGTAAAATGCATCGAAAGTTTATCAATGAAACTGTCAGGTGTTGCTTATCAGTTGTTTAGGTCGTTGAGATTTTTCCTCGCGACATTCTTGTCAAAGTGCCTATATTCCGATCTTTCCTTTCGTTGGCATCGAATACCTGATGGTTTCCCGATAAGGCCTATTTCCTCAAGTGATGTGCTTTGATTCAATGTTTTATTGATTGTTTGATGAGGTAATTTTGAAACAGCACGGTGATTGCTCGATGATTTCAGTTATGCATTGCGCTCGAATTTCTTCTGTTCGCCTGGGATGCGACACTTGCACAAGGATGAAACGGGTGGTGTTTAGGGCAACGAACGAACAACTTGAGAACTCGATATTGAACATGATATTGTGCGATGAAACCGTCTACTCCTCTCTTATCTCTTTGTTTATTCCATAACGTCTGATTGTTAAATGGTCTCATTTGCGCTGATCCTATATTCGACATTCATCAATTTGAATGCTCTGCCACGCTTTTTGCAGGCGTCTTGTTAAACCGTTGAACCGTTATTCGTTTTATTTTTCATCAGAAATGATTCACGTTGTTAGACATTTTTCCCTTGCGCATTTTTGACTCTCTCTTTTCAGTCTTGTAATTTAGTAATAAAATGTCATTAAACAAACATTCGTTCACATCAGTCAGTAAATTCCGAATGACCGATAATCAAATTTAACACTTCATCAAAGACTGTGGTTGCATTGAAAGCGTGATATTTATCGCATGAATATCCATGATATTGCAGTAAATATAATTAGACATAAAATTTAAGATTTGCGAAATATTTTGTGAAACGTTTCTGAACATAAAGTGTAATGTTTGATATCAGCATGTTGATCGAAGTAAACTCGTGCATGAGTTGAAGCATAAAATTAACCGTTTTACTTTTCTTACTGTTTAACGTGAATGGTTTTGTTGGGACTGAAGTTGCTGACAAATTTCATAGGCACATTTGTTGAACTTATTACCAAATCTTGTCAAAGTATCTGAGCATCACTTACAAAAAAGTCGCATCTACAGCAAGGTAAACGCTTGTAATCTAGTGCAAAAATTTCAACACCGCTTATTAAGGTGATGAACGAGGATCTTTACGTCGTTGTTCATCGAGTATTTATCGAAGAGAAATATTCAAATGCAGCATACAGAAATGAATTCAGCTGAATGTTTGCATTTTGACTGCAAAGTGTTTCTGTTAAATGGAATGAAGTTTGATTAGCGCAGATGCAATTACTCATTGATTGTGCTTAACTCATGAACTGATCACTTAGTTTTGCAAATCATCGCCACTATTGGCTTGAATGATAATTGTGAAATGGAGGCTTGAATTCAACCATTGGAATATGCTTGATGATTTATTTGCATTGTACATCTCGGGACGCAAGCAACTAAAAGCATCAATCGCAAAAACGGTATAAATACGGTAAAAATAGCTGATTTAAATAAACTCGTTTGCTTGATGTAGCTGCTATAAATGCAAAAAACAAGCATTACTTTTGACGATTAAGAGAGTCGCCTGAGTTTGTTATAGCAACTTCATAATCAATCCGGTTATGAACTGTTTTGCAGTGATCACTGATAACAACAAAGAGGCGATCTCACAAATGATAACAACAAACAGAGACATGCAACAGATTGCGGCGGTTAAGTTTGCCATTAATGTGAACACGGCATTATCACGTATGGTACCGCAACGCCGATGAAAATATGTTGGATGTTGATAAATTACGAATTGAAATTGAATATTCGCAGAATAATGGCTGTTGGAGACATCTCCGATTGGTAACTCTCATATTGAGAAACCGGGTAAACCAACTTGGTGACAATGCCAAGGAATTTTATTTCTCACGTTCACATTATGTATCAAACCTCTTTGATGAATACTCAGAAAAATCATTCGAACTATGACGATTTTAGTTCATTTAGTACCCAGGAGCGATCTCACAAACGATATCGATTAGCTTGCACACCAGCTGTTTACTCTCGAACAATCCACTTGATTTGTGGCCCTCTACTATTTAACTTTTCACTTTCAACGTTGCCATTGTCTTTCGAACCGAAATTCTTAAGATTGCTTAATTAAAAGAAATATTTTTCAAGAGTGAATTTGAGCAGTGTTACTTTATTCCTCTAAGCAGTCAAACACATTGTTTACTGGTTCTCCATTCAGGTGTATCAATGTGTTTGCTACACAATAATTCGAAAATTGTCATATGGCTGCAACTGTTTTATGAAACACATTTTACGCAACGAAAATTCATTGAAGTTTAGATTTTCCACTTTTTAAACAATAAAATTCAAAACTTTCTGTGTCAAATTGGTCGTTTTAGTGAGCGCATGTCACAGTTTGCGGTTATTTCAATACAGAATATGATCAATGTGACAATTTTGCAGTGAGAATAACGTGAGCATGTTCGAATCGAACGGTTGGGCAGCATTACCGGATGTTCTCCTCGAAGAAATTTTTTCGACTTTGCCAATTAAAAATCTTGGTCGATGTGCACAGGTGAGTTGGTCATATTCGTAAAAATACTTTTGTGCCATATGAAATTTTTTGTTAAGCAAATTCCGTGTTGTGGAAAAAAAATTACTGGTGTGGCAATCAATGGTGATTTTTGTAAGTTTGATGCGCACATTCAGTGATAATCAGATAACGGAAGAGCATTACGGCTTACCGAGCCATTATTACGTTCAGTCAGCAAATCAACAGCAGTTTGCGATGTCCGTACGTACAGAGAAATTCATCTAGAAACACGTAATGCTAATGCAGGTAGGGAAATGTGCAATGCATAAGAACGTCAGCAGAGGAAAGCACCCAACTGTATCATATGCCGGAATCCAGAAATTATTCGTAAAGTCAGTAGAGTTTGCGAACTTTCTGCTTAATTTCAGGTTTGTTCAAATTGGTATCGCGTATTTCAATGCAGCTATCCCTGGCGCCGATTTCAATTCGAAGATTTCATTTTTACCCGACGTAAATTCACCTCGCATTCAGGATGGCAGTATACTATCGACCACTGGAGACTCAGGTAACGGAAAAAGTTAGTTCGAAACAGAGACTTGAACGATTCTTCTAGTTTGCTTTGTTGCATGCACTACCTCGGTTAATTTAACAGCTTTTGAAACTCTTCAAACAGGAACAGTATCCTTGTGTCTACTCCAACATTGCTCTTTGCTGGCAGTTAAACACTGCGTATCAATGAATCCATCTGGCATGAAGAGCAACAAGTCGAACCATCTCATTCCTCTTCGGTGGACTGAGCTCAAAAAAAACTCGAACGCATGCTCTCATTATTTCTCTATTCCGAAGAGTTTAATTCAGGTTCCTGATTATGAGAGCTGCATCAAAATGGCGTGAATTGGAAATCAAACCTGTTACAATACTTTTCAATTTATATGAATTTTTCCGTGTTTTAACGAATTTTTCCGAATATTACGAGAAAACTAGTGATGACCGACCGCTGCAGGGGATACGCTCGTTTATATTCCGATGGCAGTTGCACTTCGAACAGCAAGGTGATCACCACATGAAGGTCATCGTCGCATTAACGTTGAATTATCTGTTTCTTTGCCGTTACAGTAGCTCTCACTGATATAAAAGTGAAAATAATTTGAAAATGCAGATAATACGAATGAACAACCGAATAAGATGTTATGCCAGCAAACTGAGATGATTATGAAATTGACACCATCGGACATTTTCGATCTCCGATTCTGCTCAGAAAAGACTCACCACGTACAAGATTTTTTCCAGACCATTTTTTAGATACAACTTTCATTGATTGTGTCATCCGTCAAGGAACTGCTCAATGCCAAATGTGCAGTTACATCACAAATGAGCCACAGAGGCACTCGTTTGCTTCAATTGCATAGCTTCAACATCTATATTTGACACTAATTCTGACGTATGTTTTTCTCAAGGTGGTTGGAACAGGAGGTGAAATGTTGAAAACACTATCGTTGCTGCTGTCCCACTTACATGGCCTTAGCGATTTAGCGCTTTACGAACTTCAACTTGAACCATGGGAAAGCAATTATTTTGTCGATGAGGTCAGTGCTGCTCGTATTTGGATTCTGAAACTGCAAACATATGCAGCTGTTAACTGTTAGTGCCAAATTAGTTCTTTTCGTCGCAAATTGAATACATTCGCTCTCACCATTTCTCAACTACGATACTGCTAACCTGGCCAATCCGTTCATAGAATGCGCTATAAAGAAACACTATTCATTGGTTTATCGATATCGAGCAGAACCAGTCCAAGTTTCTCACATTTCAGATTCTATTCAAATTCGATTCACAACTGACCTCATTGTCTCTCATAAATCTCACCAAAGTTCCTCGTGCGTTTTTACAAATTGGTCTCTTCCTGAACCTCGAGCATTTGACCGTATCACCACAACATCTGGACGAGTCAGTGATCACTCTAATCGCTGACCTCAAACGACTGCAATCGTTCACCATCTATCAGGTTGCTGTACTCTTCTCAATTATTGCACACAAATTATGAACAGAACTAAGAATCAAACCGATCCTCTCATTCCATGCAATAAAACACCATTTCTGTGAAATGGAACATGAACCGTCCAAACAAACCTGGAGTATCATTGTAAAAATGTGTGACATTCGTCATAATCTTGTATGACACAACATGGATTCCAACTGCAGGAAGATTATTATTACTCTCCCGATATTGTCACTCTCAATAAGTTCTCTGAATATTCAGAACGAGAAATCAGTGGGTTCGAATGCAGTCAGTGCTGCTACATGGAGAGCTTTTGCGTCCAGCAATACCCATACTCGAGTCTACTTGATATTATCAGGTATCTATGAAATGCGCTAATGTCTACTTGCTATTATTAGATCTCTTACAAACGCATCAATTTCCCTCTCCAATTGCAGGGCAATGTCACTGTGATCTTCTTATTCAACCTAATGCGCCAGTTTACGCAATTATCTACGAAAATTCCAATGGACAGCTCACGGCCGATGTGGCACAGCAGGTTACCAATAAATGCACATTCGATATTTGCTGTCCTAACCATAGCAAACTCAGAAACGTGTCATTCTTCTTGAATGTTTACAAACTGAAGCAATCGCTAATCGTCAGCGACATAGCAAATCATTAAAGCGAAAATTGTCAACATTTGCTTCTCTCTATCTTTTTTCGAGATGTTCAATTGTGAACAGTTCATGCGAAGCGAAACTTCAACTAATGTGTAGTGCTATTTCGAGGGTCGCTTTATCAAATTCCACAAAACTGTGTATGTATGAAAGGTGTATATATGAATGCATTTTTAAGTGAAAACTGAATGAGGACGAAGGCCTTCAGAAATGAGGACCTTAGCCAATATAGAATCAATGTGATAACCTCTCACAATCAGTATAATTCAGATCTGTGATAACTATTCAACAACTCTGCAATATCTCATACAGAAACGGTTGGAAAGACGATATCGGTCGAGAAAATTTGCGGATCGAATCGATATGTTTGCTGTAGACATTGCAATCCGATGTTGTATGTCTTATAGTTGGATCACAGTCAAATTTACTGACGAACTGCCATTAGTGTTCTGATTTATAATATTTCAGCGAGTCAAATTGTTCATCGCGGAGGCAATAGTTACGAAAAATATAATTTACATTGCACTTATTTAGTTCGCTAATTCGATGGGGTTTGCAGCCAAGTTGAAACTGCTGGCGATTCGAGAACGAATTTCGTTCGGTACAATACTTTTGCTGTCGCTCATCGCTAGAGACCATCGAACAACTCTTTGTGTGAGACGAAACGCACTTCTGAAAAGGGTATGTGCAAATTCACTCGACCGAATCATCAGTTCATCTCTAACTGTTTCACTTATGCTACGAATATCAAGGCATTTGACGTAGTATGCTGGGTTGTCTTATAATTAGGCAAATTTTTGCACGCGCAAATAGATCACATTCTGTTGATTATATGTAAGTGTGAGCCCCACATGTTAGTTTGAGAATGTGTTCATTATCAGTTACAAGTTTACTGCCTCTCTGTACACGGATCGGTCGCAAGGCGAGTAAAAAAGGATACAGTTTCAGAGGAACTGGTCAAGTTCTGAGATTCATGCCGTATTGGGCGAGAACGCTGATTTTGGATGGTTTCGTCGTAGTTGTTCCAGTTATGAAGCCATTGAACAACAGATTCGTCTGATTACGGGCTCTGGTGCAACAATTGTTTCGGATAACAGATATTTGTATAGTTTCTAGAATACAAATTGATTTCTGTTTGCTACGGGTGCAGAATATTTTATTTCGTATGTTCAGTGTGATAAATCAAACCCTTAAACTCTGCTTTCTCCAATTTGTGGAACGTTGTCATTCTATCGTAATCAGTAATTTTATTATGTGTACTCAATAAATGTCTCAATTGCGCAGTGTAAAATTGTCACCACAATATCAACAGCGATTCGTCATCGAATTCGATTATTCCGTTTTAGAAGCAGTTTCCAGAACTAAATCAGGTTATCTCATCACTTCTCTCATATAGTCGTGAAGGTGCGCGTTTCGTGATATGATGTATTTAGTTCTGGTTTCATGCTATATGAATGAAGATACTCGATCATTACATGATTATCTCTCTAGTTCATGATCATTCCATCCGAACCTATTTGCACGCATTTGCATGCTTTGCTGATACTTTCTCCTCATTCGTACGTTTCGATTTAGCATCCAATCGTACGTGTACTGTCCAACGTTTCACAATTATTTATTCCGGTACACATCAGTTAACATATGATGCAAGAAGTGTTCGAAAAGGCGATATACAATAAAATCAGATTTTAGTTAAGAAAGCGGAATGTTAGGTGCGCACATCCAACAGACGAGCCTATATAGCAAGAATGAACGAACACTGCATGCTCCCCAAATCTTCGTAGCAATTTTAAAAAAATCATCGCACGAAATTTTTGTGAATATTATCAGGAGCATTTGTATTCAGATGCATATTAGAATGGCTTACGAATTCATTGATCTTGTCGATAATACGTCCGAAATTAGCAAAAACACTTGAAAATTTTAGGAAAATGATAAAAAGAATTCAGATCGTATATTACATTATTGTTACATAACGCTTTCATGAGTAACTCGCCTTAAACGAACTTCCAGTTCACGCTATTAGCAAGAGAGCTCGATTCATTCTCACTTCAGCTAAGATGTAATCATCATATCATTAACTAACAACTCATTCAACCGAAACGGAACATCGGTAAATCTCCAACATGTCGGATTTGATACTTCTCATCAGCAGAGTTCGGTGCTCGTTCGGATCGATCGAATTGTAATTGCCGTGTCGCACGCGAGAATATCGGTGATTTTGATTCTCCTGGAAAGACTGCTGCATCTGTTAAGTGAACTAATGTTATATGAACACTCGCATTGCTATGTGAACGCATTCTTTGAATCATTTCAGTCACTGCATTTACATACCTATGACCGACCGACTCTTTAATTAGGCAAATGAGAACTTTTAATTCTATTCTGATTTCTTCGTTTGATTTACTAATTGTTCCCCGTATCGAATCTTCTGAAATCATTGAAGTGGC